TCTCGGTGCAGAGGGTAGCAGCGAAGACCCAGTCGTTGCCGTTGTCTTTAGAGAGCGTCGACGCTAAATTTAGCCGCGTGCTACTATGCTTTGCAAACTGCATGCGAAATAGATTGACTCGCTGCAAAGCAAATGTGTGCAGACGTTTCCCCATTGTGTGTTTTTAAGTGAGAGGAAAATCGCTTTGCACCGCGGCGCCGCTTCTCAGTCAGCTGTTGTTTCGTCCTGAAAATGCCTGGGTGGCTTTCATGAGCCAACTGCACAAGTGTGTCAGACATTGATGTAGGAATTGTGACTTATCTGTGCGGAAAACCAAGTTTTCTACACAGGACAGCTCAAATCTGACTGCAAAGTAGGGCAGTAGTTCTGGTGGCAGAGATTTCTTATCTGGCCAGCCATTAGCAACAAATGCAAGAACATGATGCAATGTAGCATTTTCAAAAGCTGCTGCTTGCTGGTCAGCTTTGTTTATGCAAAGAGTAATGAGAGATTATTTCTTCTTCCAGCTCTGGACAGACTGAAAGCTGTAAAGGTAAACGAAAAAGTGCATCTGCCACAACATTATGTGAACCCTTTAAGTACTGTACAGTGCAGTTGTAGTACAACAGTCTGGCACACCAGCATGAAATGCGTAATGGACATGGGCCCTCCGATCCAGCACAAAGTAACGTAACAAGAGCTTGATAATCAGTGTGTAATGTAAAATGTCCATCCTTTAATTACACATGCCATTTCTCACAAGCACTGAGGCAGGCTAGGGCTTCACCCTTATCAGCAAGGTTTCTGCCTTCAGCAGGAGACAAAGTTCTTGAAGCAAAAGCAATTGTAATTAACTGGTCACCTTTGAGTTGTTGAAACACAGCACCCAATCCTATGTTGGACATGTCAGTCGCAATGAGTATTGGAAGCGTCTCGTCAAAGAGTTGAATGACTGGGTTTGCAGCTAGTACTTCTTTAATAATGTTGAAAGCCGAATTGGGGGTAGGGCTTCCTTGGACTAATTGAATGTTTGGCCTTTATGCAACATGGAACGCAGTGGTTCAGCAACATCAGCATAATGTATAATGAACTTTGAGTAATAGCCAGCGAGACCAAGAAATGAATGCAAGGTTTTAGAGTCTGCTGGTGCAGGTGCATTAACAATAGCACGCACTTTGGACTCAAGAGGAGACAATCCTCTGGCACTGACATTGTGTTTTAAAAATGGAATTTGCTTGACGGCAAATGCTGTTCAATTCATTCCTGTGTTGCTTATGCGTCTTAGTACTACTTGTAAATTATCATCATGCTCAGCACGCGTTCGACCCTAGACTAAATGTCGTCTAAGCAGCACAGTACTCCAGAGCGATCTTTCAAAATGTCTGACATGATTTTCTCAAAAACAGCTGGAGCAGATGGCAAGCCCCAAGCAAACTCTACTGAATCTGAATGAACCATCATGTGTTACAAAGGTAGCTAAGTCTCTACTTGATTCAGCCAAGTTAACCTGATGGTACATTCATGCAAGATGTAACTTTGAAAAGTAAGCAGCACCTGTAAGCTGCTGGAGAAGTTCTTCAATGTAAGGTAAGAGAAACCCATCAACCACGATAGCTTTGTTTGGCTCACGCAAGTCCACCCACAGTCTTAAAGAACCATTCTTCTTCTTCACCGCGACCAGTGGAGAGACCCAATCTGCTGCTGAAACTCGTTCGATGACGCCTGCTTTTTCAAGACAAGAAAGTTCATCGGAGGCTTGTTGTTCAACAGGAATGGCAACCTGCGAAGCTTGGCAGGGATGGCTGCACACCTGACGGCGTTTCACTTTGTGCATGTAGCTTTTCACCAGTCCGAGTTCCTGGGTGAAAAGGTGCTGAAATTCAGAAAGAGTTTCGCTTGAAATCTTATAACTTGAGCAATTATGGGGTCGCACTGGTGTCAGCGAGAAAAGGAATGTTGACTTGACGAACTTGAACAGTAATCTTCAGTGGCGAAGGACGGTTGGGGCATTGATCAATGTTTATAATTGTAACTGTGTTTGTTACAGCAGTACCTTGTACTTCATCTACGTTCTGTTGAAACATGCTGACATTTGATGAGTGGCATACAGCTCGGTAGTGACCTCATTTCCCGCAGGCAGAACAAGTGCGGTTGCGGGCTGGATAATTAAGAAAATTCGGGTAGTGCTTATGAGATCCGTAACTGTAGCATTCACTCGATCCTAATGGTTTGAAAAATTGGATGTAGTAGGACGGGAGTCGTGATGCCCATGGCCATGTTGGCTTCCTGCCGAGTTCTGTCGGGGAGGCTGTCAGCCACACTTTTGTTTTTGGTGGCCATCTTGTGGACCTGGATGTAATTCGATCTTCGGAACCTGAGCGATCGGGAATTCCTGCATTTTGAGTTCGGTATGCTCCTTTCCCTTCGCAATTTGAATTGCATGCTGTAAAGTAAGGGTAGGGCCTAATGGCAAGAGTCGTCTTCGCACATTTTGTGCAGTTATTCCGCCAAACAGCTGATCAAGGACTATGGAATCGGCGGAGGTGCTGAAGTTGTATTTGCTCGCCATTGCCTGAAAAGCAGAAACATAGTCAGTAACTGATTCCCCCGGTATTTGCTTGCGCATTTTGAACTAGTGATGCTCTAGGACTTTATTGCTTGGAGCCTTGAAATGGTTCTCTAGTAGTGTGAGTGTTGCGATGCATTCATCATTGCATGCCTTTTTCCCAATTCCCATCTCCGCTTTCCGCCTGGTCCTGTGCATTTCGTAGTGTCCAGTAGACATCAGGGCCCTCAACTTCGAGTGGGTTAAGTAGTAGACTTTTCTTGAGAACGGGCTGGGCATTGTCTTCGGCGGGGACGTCGACGTACACCTGAAAGACACGGCGCCATGTAGCCCAAGGCACAGGTTGAGTGCCCGAAGTTTGCTATAACGGCGAAGGAGCAATTTGGGAAGCAGGGGTGGCCGCAGTAGGCCTAACTCATTTCATGCAGCGTGCAAGTAGGGCAATGCCCTGTAAATGCACCAAAAAAGTGGCAATTCACAAAGAAAATTGGTGAAGGATGCTGATAAAGTACGTGAGAGGCTTACTTCTTGTTCATCTTGTTGCCAAGTTGTTGTATCACTGCCGGATGGACCATCTGACGGAGTTAGCGCCGGAGCTCTGTAACAAGCGTCACGCTAGGCCAAGAACGAGGAGGGGACTCTTTAGTCAGAGAGTGCTCTTTAGCGCGTAGCCATGATTACACAATATAGCCGTTAGGCAGGTGGTGCTATGCGACACATCCCGTGAAACCGAAACTAATCGGAAGTCTATGACCTCGAGATCAGTATATTTGAATTTAGGACATGAAATGCCCGACACCACAAAAACCATTTCTGATTCTGGTACCACTTGTTCTCCACATTTGGACCTGTTCGCAGAGACTAACTTCATCTGTTCCGTCACCATGAGTAGCGTCCGGTGGCAGTCCTTCGCCGCACAGCAAAAGCTTAAGATTATCCCCGTCACCAAGGATTTCAGCAATCGCAAAGCAGAAAGATGGCAGAACGTGGACAAGTGCTGCGTGTGACGGTGAAGAAAGAAAGACAGCCTACAAGCTGCACACTGCGACTGTAGGTCATTTTGTGGCCTCGAGATAGTGGCGCTCGCAGCTGTGCAGATTTCGTGGAGGCGCAACAAAGCAGCTAGTCCTACCTTATGAGTTCTGTGCAGGCTCGTGAGGTAGGCATAGCTGCTATGTTGCTTGAGCACTGCTTTTGTACAGCCTTTCCTGTATATGAAATGTTCGAGCAAAAGGCAAAGATTTTTTGCTCCTTTTTGGTGAGCTGAATGGTGGGGTGCAGAGGCGAGTTATACGTGCGATAATACGGTATACATATGCTGCAATGCTTCCAATAGACTTGCCGTCCTAAAGCTGCCATATCTATTGGCAGGTGTAAGCCTATTCGAGAGGCTGGAAAAGGCACACAGCCTGCTCTGGAGTACTGCTCTGGTGTGCTTTCATCATCGAAAGACTCAGTTTGAACAGTGCAACTGCATGCAGACAGAGGAAAACACACAAACACTTCTCCTCTGTCGCACTGTTCAAGCTGAGCATGATGAACAGACTAGCCCCCAACACACTTTCGCCAATGCCTAAGCGCCCTTTCTTTTTTAGCTTCTATTTTTCAGTGAGGTGTTGCGAGCTGGCTTAATCTGAAAATTTGGTGCAACATTCATCGCAGAGCGAGCTCACACATTGTAAATAAATAAAAAAGATTTTAGGGCTTGCAGATATGCATACGACTGTATATTGGTGGACTGCATTCAGGAAGCTTTGTATTCCATAATTTTTTCTTTGTGTCAAATGAAGTGCAATATAATGGAATATAAAAGTCCGTACGAGCCAACAGTTTCAACAAAATTTCACATTTTGAAATTTGCCTGTGTTGGGCTGTTACTGGACAACTATTTGCAACATTTCTTGCAGCTTCCATGGAATAGAGTTGCAGGTAACTGTGAGAGGTCAAAATGCAGCATGATGATGCAACTAAGTGAAATGTAATTTAGGATAGCTCCCTATAACTAGGGACCTTTATTGATCGCTTTGGGGGAAATAAAGTTATGTTGTGTACTGGAAGGTGGACAGCATTGTCTCCTGGATTGTGTGCAGGCTTGGTGCTGTGACAGCAGATTGTATCCCTCAGCAGCAGATCGACCGTTCTTTTTAAATGATAAAGCAATGCAAAATAACAAAGACGGAAGAAAAGAACCATCCAAACTATGAAAGTACCTACTGTTGAGAGTTTTATTAAAAGGACACACAAGATCAAAGAAATAAGTTGTAACACACATAACTTAATGGATGTGTGTGTTCTTTCAATAAAATCTCCAGTTTGCACTGTGTCTGCATAAACGGGTTTTTTGTTCTAGTTTGATCAAGCTACAATATGCATTGCCATCTCACCCAGCAAACCCTCCTTCTGGAGATGAACACCAGCAGTTAGTATTCTATTTTTTTTTTTCCGCTGTGTGCAGGGCTCATCAAACAAGAAGTAGAGGTCCTCCCGTGCGATGCCATGTCCCAGCATACCTACACAGCACTTTATTCCCGCTTTGTGTAATGTGGTGACACTGGCCTGGGACCACTGATGCAGCATTCCCAAGCTACCTTCCTTTTTTTTACTCCCCATACTGTTTTGTTACTTGTTGTTGCTGTTGTTCAAGTGCCAGAAGCCCACAAGTTTTGTGCCCTCATACCCAGAGCTGTTCTTTTACCTCATGCCTGTTCTTTTTTCTAGCTTTTGACTCATTTACGTTGTTTATAATGTAAGCTCTGTGCATAAAAGTTCTACTCAGTGTGCTTTTCTGAAGTGGATCGATTTTTTTTTTTTGTCTGTTGCTGCCACTGTTACTTGCAAGATATACGCATAATTGGACTACTCCTCTGTAGATCTTGTTTAAATGAAATGATTGGCTAACTTTCTTGTCATACCTCAAGCATGAACCTTAGGGCAAAATGTAACTGATGGTAGTGTTAAGCTGTCTTTGAAGTTTTCTCCATAGCAGTTTGCCTTTGGAGTATGCAGAAACTGCCTGTTGAAGTTTTTACTAAAAGGACACAGAAGAATACCGTAGACAGCATTGCCATACTACTTTGGGCATCATGCTATGCTGAAAAGCACGTGTTGGTACTTCTGCTCTGCAGAGATCGATCATTTTGTGCCTTTAGAAGGGCATCACTGTTTTGTTTGTTAAAAAGAGCCATCAAGTAATGAATTTAATGGGAAATGTTTTTCTTGAGCTGTTCAAGATAATTCTCTTAAGTGCATCAAGCAATAGACAAGTTGAAAACTAATTATTTTAATGAATGAGCCTTTGTGATAAAGGGAGTTGCATTACTGTTCACAGCTGGCAACTGGAAGCATAGCAAGTTTATACTACTGCAGCTAGTATTAAGGCTGAGTTGAAGTTTAAGTGTGTTATAGCCAGAACTATATATAAGCCATACAGAATTTCCATATGAGAAGTTGTGGCTGATAAACTTTTTGTGTGATCTAAAATTCTGGAGCAGAATATTACTGTAGCCATGTAAAGGCAGTTCATTCTATTTCCACAAAATCCAGCATTATTCTTGCTACACTGAATTTACTACTGAAGAATTTTGTGCCCTGAAAACCTAATGCTGAGGCTATATCCAGCATTTATGATAAGCTGCTGGATATTTTCACTTGTGGGTAGTTGCATTTGTGATTTTTCACTATTTTTTATTTTAATAATGACCATAACGTATGTGAAGAAGTTAGTAGCTTATTTCACTTGGGCTTCTTGGGTTAAAGCAATACTTATAGTTGACAAAATTGACACCATTGTTTGGATTGGCAAATTAATGTTTGCTGCCAATACTTTCTAGATGATAGGGAGAAGCATGCAAGCAGAGCATAGATTAGGTAACTGGCAGCCTAAGTAGAATGGAAAATGCAATTAAGTCAAGAAATTTCGAGGCATAGGATGCAGTCCAAGATTTTATTTCTGTGTGTACAACACATGAAGTGCCCGATACAGTTGTGTATAGTGAAGGAAGTATCTCGCTAGATGCTTTTTTTCAAGCTGCGTGAAAATGAGAACTGAAGTGTTCATGACCAGAGTACACCAAATGTTCTCTCGCAAACAAACATTGCAACGAGATGCCTTGTCATGTGGGCAGACATGTGCACCGTACTCCATTTGTGGAGTTGCTGCAGTGCAGTTATGGTGAATGTTTCTCTGAGCTCAGCCTTATCTCGCCGAGTAAATGTTGTGGCTGCAGCACAAATGTCTTTTGCATTTCTTAAAACTTGTGCCAGGAAAATATTTTCAAATAATTGATATGCACTGTGTCCTGATTCTAATCCTCCCATTGCGACAGGCTGTCTGCAGTTGCAAAAGTTGATAAGCCTACATAATTACACAAGGAGAAGGGGTCAGCAGCTAGATGGGAAATCCAGTGGAACACATCGGCTTAAAAAATTGCGTAGTAGTCTCAGATATGTGGGCAGAATGCTTTCATGGACACATTGTTGTGCATTGCACGTGGTGAGAATTGAGATTGGCAAAGCTTATCTTTTTGCTGAACTGTCAACTGCATACCATAGTAGCTGCCTTTTGAGTGCAGCAGCCGAAATGTGAAAGGACTGTTGTAGCTGCCTTTTGAGTGCAGCAGCCGAAATGTGAAAGGACTGTTGTGCTCATATTTCAGTGCAGATTGTTATTACAAAGCCCTGTGCTCTCTGCTGCATGACTTCAAGTTTTTTGTTTTTTTAATTTAACCTATAGTCTTTGCACAATACCGTTTTTATGTGCCAAACAGCCTTGCAGAATTTATTTGGACCTATCTGCACCTGGTGCTTTTCTTGTCCCGTGAGCTCTACTATCCAGTGGGCAGGTCATTTCTCCAGTCTTTGTTTAAGGTGCATTGTCAGGAAGTTCAGGTGCTTGCATGTTAGCACCAAACAGTGCACTTCTAGGAATTAGTGAATCCAGTGTCTGCCATTCATGAAAGACATTGAGAAGACTGGACAGCAAGAATTGCTTTTTGGTCGTGCCACTTGGCCTTTGTGCATGTGCTTTGTTGGCCTCTCTAAGGTTAGGTGTCACAAGACAAGGCTGTTATGCAGTTCATCATGTCTAACCATGCCTTTTTGGCACCATTTATAGGGGTAGGAGCAACATTTTCAGTCAATGGGCCTTTTCCTAGTCCGAACTAAACCTCAAGTGAATATCGCCGAAATCAAAACTGGTGGCTCTTGGACTCCAAAACTGTCCGCCACATGCCGGTAGGCAATCTCGGAGGCCTGCGTTCGCGCCTTTCTTTGGGGCAAACATGCATGTTTATGGCACCAGATGTTGCTTGGCCCGCACATATCGTCACGATTTGCTCACCAAAAATCGTGGCGTGTTCCTGCTCAAGGCCGGCGTTCATGTGCAGATTACCTACCCAGAAAAGGCTCATTGCTAAATAGGTGTTAGATGCCCCCAAATACACTGTTGAAAAAAAGGGCATATACAAAATCGTTGTACCAAAAGCGTACTTGTTTCCAAGTCTGCTTGTTGAAGCGTCGGGAATTTTCCATCTTTTCAAGCTTCCATCTTCACCTGAGTTTCTGCTTTTTTTTTCTTTTTTTGTAGCAAAACGTGGTACAGCACAGTTTGCAGCACATCCCGGGTTGTGGGGCCAGGCCTTAAGTTGTATTTAAAAGTGCACAGTGGACCGTCGAAAGTAAAATCGCTTGCCATAGCCTATTGCTACAAAGGTTGTTCACAGCGTTCTAAACTGAAGAGTTTCATTAACATCACTACAAAATTATTTGACTAGTTTGCACTGCACTAGTACTAAACTGCTGTTCATATGAGCTCTGGGTACTCACCTGCTCATTGCTTATACCTTAAAGCATTTTGCAAGAACAAAAGTGGTAACGAGCAGATTTCAAATTTACTTGTCCTATGTAGTTTTTTCCTTCCTCCGCTTGAAACAATGCAGTTTGATGGCTGTGGATTGGAGAGTGCATTAGCAGTGACATGTGGTGTGCATGCGTGTGCATGTTTGTGTGCATGGTGTGTATGAAAGGCAAGTTTAGATTGATGCTGGCAGAGCTACTCGTTTATGCTGTTGGAAAAATGGAAATATATGCTAATAAATACAGCACGAAACTACATTGTCTTGTGTGGATTTTGGCAGCCAGACCGAAAATACTTTCTCTTTTTTTTTTGCAAAACGGGACTGTTGCTCTAGAAATGCATCAGCACACTGTTAATCAGCTTTTTTAGGCAACTGTAATGTTGCCAGTGTCGGTTCTGCTTCAAGGCCAGCTCTGGCTATTTTTCGTGGTCAGTAGATAGCAAAACAACACATCGTCTGTTAGGGTAACCCGGCTTCAAGACCTAGCGCTTCACTGATTCACGGTAATCGCTGTTCAATGTAATTGGGGAGTAAACGTGCTTTTTTATGACGTGTTTGTTGCCATTTGTCTAGTAATTGTGTTTTTGAATTGCTTTTCAAGGTGATTAAATAAATCAAATCGATTCAATCATTGACCAATAAGTTGCGTGCTACCAGCAATTGTATAGGCTGAAATGTAGGCAAGTACATGTTGCGAAGTGGATCGCAGCAGTTGTGTGCACATCGTAGGCTACCAGGGCTGTGTTCCTATTCTTAGACAACACGTAGATAGTCTACGATGACTGCTTAGAAGACCGCATCGAGCCCATGCTGTCCGAGAATTGGAACACGTTTAGACAGCTTTTACGCGACGATACACCACCTCGCGTCGAGAAGAAAAAGCTAAAAGAAACAAACGTAACAGTTGTAATTTTTGGCTTATTTCGTGTCAAAATCGTAAGCAAATAAACTTTACTCACATTGAGCATCTGGGAAAGCGTCTGCTTGTGTGCAGACGGCCAATCTGGTGAGATTTGATCTATCTGAGCGATTCACTGAGCCGCCATCCTGTTTAGACAGCAAAGTAGCCTGCATCATATTTGTCTACGATGCGGTCTTCTCTGAGCTGTCTACTTTGCCAGCTACATGAGAATTGGAATGGTACTTCAGATGGCCATTGTCCATTCAGCTATCTATTTAGCCGTCTACGGTGAGTATTGGAACACAGTCCAGGTATGCCCACTACACATGCATCTACACTGGATAACTTGTGTGACATAACATCACGTTAGAGCACAGACATCACTATTATCGAAACAAAGTGAGCTTTACGGTGTGATGATGTGAATATCTTGTAAATTTCTCTAGCATATTCCACCAGGGTAGAGCAACGCTTGAATTCACTTTTTCAATGAAATGTAATGTTTATTATAGACTGCTGTCATATGTGTCAATATTTCAACCTATGGCAGATAGTTGATTCCTTCAAATGGTTATAAAAATCGTATAGTCAGCTCATATTGTCTTTTTTCAAAGCATTTTCAAAACCTGGCGTGGCTCTTTTGAATACATGTAGCAGGTTCGACTGCAGCGCTAGTTGGTGTGATCCCATATTTAAAGCAGCGCAAACTAAAGGACCAGAAGTAGACACAACGCATTGGAAGAAGCGTAAAAGGAGAACATACAAGAAGTGACCAACTGAACTCTGCAATCGCCGAAACATCAGAATCTTGGCATGATAAAGTGCACAAAGGCAAAAAAACGAACAAAAAAAGAACAAAGAACAATAGATAAACAATTTTCACACTAGATATGCAGCAACAAGGCATCAGCAAAAGTCAAACAGAAAAGCCCGAGAGTAGGACAAGAAGTGTCGACTTGTTGTCTTCCAGTTTGCGCTTCTTTAATCCTGATTGCCATGTAGAACACTTTGGTTCAATTCTTGCCGAGGTCCTGATTTTTTATCTTTGCATTGCGTCTATGCTGTCAGTTTCTCTTGTAGCGCTCTCGCATTTAAGTTGTACTACGTTTCACATATAAGGTGCAATGCTGCAGAAGAAAATAAAAAGAACAGGGCAAGCACTGGTCCTGTTCCCTTATTATGCGTTTCCAATTTGTGCACTACCTAACGATGAATAACTTCCAACTCGCCCGCCTTTCAGTTTTACTGATCGTTGGTGGGACATCTGATTATAGTGCCTGTGCAGCTTCCTGCTTTTTGTGCTCCCCATGGCGCGACTGGCGAACAGAAGAAAGCAGGAAGAGGAAAAAAAAAACAGGGGGACTGTCTGTCCTCTGCGGCAGTGACACTTAAGTCCAAGTGGCTACCTTGGTGACTTACCCAGCGCAGAGAGCCTGTACGTGGCGTCACGTGGAAATTAAGCTATCCAGCTGCAAATACGTTGCAGCTGGATAGCTTAGATAGCTTTGCACGTCTAACGTTGTTGTTGTTCGTAAGGGACAGAATATTTTTATCTACTGCTCGTGGAAATTACGAATAAGAATTCTTAGTACTTGTAAGAACATTGAACCATTTTTCGTTGCGAACGCAATTGAGTATAAGAAGTCTTGATATAGCCTTTATAGCGTTAAATATGCAGAGGCTCCGGAAGTCTTTCGCGGCACAGGAGTACTTCGGTTTGGGCTAGCTGGTTCATAGTACTAATTTTGAAAGGGCAGTACATCGACACGAGGAAAGAAAGACGGAGAGATAATGAGTGGCCGGCTCGAGATGCCCGGTAAACTTCGATTTCCGGCGGCAGTCTCGCGTTCAGAATCGTATCCTAATGTGCAAGCACACAAAGAAGCACACACGCTAGCTGCTGTTTTTTATTCTTAAACGTGCGACTTCACAGAGATATTTAATATTTAGGATGGCCATCTCAATCATGAACTGGTTGCTGACATTGCCATTTCCTGAATAAATAAAACATCCTACTTGCAGTTATGCACAGGCACATGGGGACAAAGATGAGACACACAAACAGGTGTAATCTAATGACTGGTTTATTTTTTGAACGCATTCACTTAACAACCCTCAGATCAGCACGATTTCGTCAAAAAAAAAAAAAGGAAACATTTGAACAGCACACATGGCACAATTTTTTATCACGTGCTCAATTAACAGTAAAGAAGGTCGAAATTACTTTCTCGCAAGACAACCGGTGGGTGGCTAACACTTTTCTCTCAGCATATCAATGTGATAGGCTTCCATTACCTCAATTGAAGTTCAGTTTCGATGCCTATATTCTAAGTTAGTGTATTAAAACAAGGTGAGCATACGCACTTATTGCAGTGCTGTGCTAAATGTGTGGAAGGGCAGACTCGACATGTATTCCCTTAGCCTCGTGTTATGTCAGTATGCCAGTCTGCCCTACATATACCGCTATATTTGCGCATTTAAGAAACTAGAGCTTGCATTTTTTATTGTTACATTTCTTTTTGTACTGCTCAGTTTGTCGTATTTCTGATTAACCAATGGACATGCGTCCTCTGATTTTTTATTTTGGTCGAAAGAATCACCTTTACATAGTAAATTCGAGCTACCTTTTTTTTTCATGTGGGGTTTAACGTCCCAAAACCATCATATGATTATGAGAGACGCCGTAGTGGAGAGCTCCGGAAATTTCGACCACCTGGGGTTCTTTAACGTGCACCCAAATCTGAGCACACAGGCCTACAACATTTCCGCCTCCATCGGAAATGCAGCCAGGATTCGAACCCGCGACCTGCAGGTCAGCAGCCGAGTACCTTAGCCACTAGACCACCGCGGCGGGGCAAGCTACCTTTTTTAATTATGGGAGATAGCCCATGCACACAAGGGATAGCTACCACCTTTGAGCTAGGTTTCCTCTTTAACTATTTTGTTACCTCACGAAAATGGTTATTTTTCGTATGTTTAGAAAAAATAGTTTTTGCCAGTTTTGAAAAGTACTCCAGCACGCGCATTGCAGCATACCGAATTTTCCACAATGAAATGCTCTTTCTGAAAAATTCAAGCAACGAAAATATTCTGCAATGAATAGAAATGTGAAAAGTGTGAAATTTCGGGTAGCTAGCTGGTGAACAATGCAATAAAAACACTATGTATGCAAAAATATTGAGAACACAGAAAATTCAGAACATTCATTTTCAAAATAAATGACCCAGTAACAGTGTGAAAAATAATAAATGTAGTACTAAATGTTTCTATTCACATACACGAGGAAAATCAGAACTGAGGTGCTGCTTCATTAACCATGCCATATGCAACAAAGCATTGCTTGGTTTTTCGTTAGACACTAGTGCACTTTCGTACACTTTTTTTCAGTGAAGTATTTTCTTCCTTTCTTGGGATGAAGGCGTGCAGCTGCTCCACTGTAGTTCGATGCCCGTGATGTCAATCATTCCTCTATAAATCAGATGCCGAATGAACTTCGCTATTTCTTCTAGTGTCACCTCTTTCCACCAGCCACCTCACTCTGCCGAAGTTGACATTTACTATATGCATTAAAAATATTTTGTTCCATTTTCGTGCATCGCACTAAAAAAACTATGGACCATCTCTCGAAAGGAACCTTCATGGGATGCAAAGCAGCAGCGGTGCGCACGACATTGACCCCGTTGATCCGGCGTCGACGCGGTTGCTGGAAAAACAGTTTGAAGCGAAACTTGGTGTCACATTTACTCCAGTAAACGTTTGTTTCAAACGCAGACACAGGAGGCTGGTCGCGTTAAAGATGCTTGCGTTCGGCTTTCTTGGCTCGCGTCTCGTCGGTGTTACCCGCATGCCGTCTGTATTCTCGAACGCGATCGGTGTTCTTGTCTCGCACCTAGTCGGTGTCGCTAGTCTTCCACTTCTGACGCTTGCATTCGGCTTCCCTAGCTCGCGCCTCGTCAGTGTTGACACTGCCATTCTCGAACGCGATTGGCTTCACTAACCCTCGTGACGCCTGCGACTGCCGAGAAAGGTACGCACACACTAGCGGGAAGCATGCTGCGACGGTGGCCTGCGCGTCGGCGCCATTGCGCGGCAAGCAGCGACGCGCTGTTCACATCGTCGACGCCGCGAGATTCTCCAGCCTATGGGATTATTGAAGGTATTGGTCTATTGGTATTCTATGGGTCTATAGGTAGCATTGTGGTCTATTATATTTTTATTTGTATATTGTTGTATGTGGCGATAGCGTAGTGGTTAAAGCATCCGCCTCGCATGCAAAAGGTTCGTGGCTCGAATCCCGCTGCTGCGCAGTTCCCAACAGGATAAAAAAAAATCCACGTGGTGATGGAACTGCATTG